GAGGAGTACGTAAGACTAAGGACGGCGCACTCTTGATAACACTGAAAAATGAAGGAGATACGATGCAGATAATCGAAGGGCAGATCTCCAAGAATCTGAAAGGCATGGAGATGAGAAGAAGTGGGGGCAAGGCAAGAGGAACTACAATGTTCCATCTTCAAAACTTGGAGGAGTTAACCACAAAGGAGGAAATAGACGGGGCGCTGTGTAACAGAGGAGGAGATGAAAAAAACTAGAATAACGTCCATTTGGGAGGCATTTGGAAACACAAAAGTGGCAACCATACTGGTGGCAAAACACGATGCTGAGAAAATCACGAATAATAAAACGATTAAGGTTGGCCTAGTAAGTATCCTGCAGGATCAGAGTAAGGGTGAAAGTTAGCCGATGCACTAAATGCTGGGAAACTGGACATAAGAAGTGGGAGTGCAAAACCCCAGATAGGAAAGACCTATGTATCAGATGCGGAAAAGAAGGGCACAGAGCAAAAGAGTGCGAAGATGAACTGGAATGCCTGATATATCATCAGCGAGGACATGCGCTGACGTCGATACGATGCCCAAAAATGAGGAAAGCTGTAAAACAGAGGGAAACTCCGGGAAACGCAGAGAAGGGACAAATTAGAAGACGGACTTCCAAGAGTCCATATGGAAGAGAAGCAAATCAAAATGACCCAAATGCTGCAAAAAACGAAGAGGGGGCGGGACAATAACTGCCTCGCCCCCCTTTAATAGGTCCATCAAAACATATGACGAGAGGGGAGCAATAAAAAAGAAACTGAGAGCAATGTTTCACAGATAAACGGAAATGGGAGTCAGGTTGTATACGACCTAACTATCCCCAAAAAAATGAGAGTACTACAGATCAATTTAAAACATTGCTACGCTGCACATGGCATGTTGGAAATTACGGCAAGGGAGCTAAACATCGACATCATCCTTGCTAGCGAATATAACCAAGACGTAATCTTGAATAATGCCTTATTGATCACAGACCGGAAGAGAGATGTTGCTGTGAAAGTCAGAAACAATCATGCAAACATAAAAATAATCGAACATGATGGATTGCTAGGGGTGGAGGTAGAAAAGGTCCTCTACATGTCATGTTATGTGTCGCCAAACATATCAACGGAATCCTATGGAAATTATGTAACGCGTTTAGACAATGTGCTTAAGCAGATTGGGAAAAAGAAGGTGGTAGTTGCGGGCAATTTCAATGCAAAGTCACATCTATGAGGACCTACGGCTGAAGACAAAAGGGAGGGGGGGATTGTAAAAGCTATGTTCGCCTCGAACAACTTTGAAGTGCAGAATGATGGGTTAGTGTCCACTTATCATAAGGATGGCAAATACTCATATATAGATCTGACATGGTGTAGTGATCATATGAAGGAAAAATGTGTGCAATGGATGGTGCTAGAGGAGGAAACATGTAGTGATCACAGATATGTATATTTTGAAATAGCCGATGCGAATTTACAGCATGAAACAGGAACGAACTACAGAGCAAATGGATACAGACTGCAGCGACTCGATAAAAACAGACTATTCAAAACATTTGGGGAGTACGTTAGAAAGTGCCGGATTGTCGAGGAGTTAATGAAGGCAGTGAAAGTGGCCTGCGATTATTCAATGTCCAAGAGAGGAGGAAGTATGCATAAACAAAAGCAGGTTTACTGGTGGACTCAAGAAATTGCTATGTTAAGGAAGGGATGTCTAAGGAAAAGAAGGAAGTTGACTAAACTAAGAACTAGGGCAAAAGGTTGTGCAAATGTCTCGTCCCTCCTGAGGGAGTATGCGGCCTCGTATAAAGAAGCTAAGAAAACCTTGAGCAACAAAATATTGAAAGGAAAGTCCAGGCGGTGGCAAGAGCTGTGCGACGAGATAGATACAGATCCTTGGGGGAAAGGTGTTAAAATAGTCACTAAAAAACTTGAGGTCGCGACCTCGCCGAAAATGAGCCCCGAAAGAAAAAAGGAGATTGTTGATCAATTATTCCCGATGATACCTGTACAGCAAATACTCATATCGGTAGAAGACGAACAGGAGCCGGTTCAGCTTACCAAAGCAGAACTCTTAGACGCAGCTGCACGCACTGTGGACGCAATTAAAGAGGTTTGCAACACGCCGCAAAAGAGAAACGAAAAACTTTGAAGACACGTGGAATCTGCGCCTTGGTCACGGTGGATGTAAAGAATGTCTTTAATTCCATACCGTGGGGGGTCATACATGAAGAAATTGCCAGAATAGGTATTTCCGCACACATTAGGCGACTGATAGTCAGTTACTTAACGGATCGGTACATCAACTTGGGAGATGGTAGCAGCAGAGCCCTTACTTGCGGGGTACCTCAAGGCTCCGTTTTGGGACCTTCGTTGTGGAACATCGCGTATGATAGCGTATTAAGCCTGTCAGTTCGCGGAAATGTTCATCTGGTAGCATACGCAGACGACCTGGCAATAATTGCCACTGCTAGGAAAGAAACCGAGCTGCAGGCAAACATGAACCATGCACTGAGATTGGTGAAAAAGGAAATTACGGAGAAGGGTCTAAAAATTGCCATCGATAAGACGGAGGCAATTTTTCTTAATGGAAGGAAAAAATTTTGCCCCTTTCACTTTTCTATTGATCAGGAAGAGATCAGAAGCAAGAGAGAACTCAAGTACCTCGGTGTGGTTCTTGACTGCCATTTGTCGTATGGAAAACACGTGGCGTACGTCACCCAGAAGACGGAGAAGACGGCGAAGGCGCTAGCTAGAGTAATGCCCAGAATTGGAGGGGCGGGAGAAGACAAGAGACAACTCATGAGTTCAGTGGCCCAGTCCATGATATTATACGCTGCGGAGATTTGGGCGCCAGCGATGAAGACCAAAGCGTATCATAAGAGAGTGGACGCTTGCCAGCGTGGACTGGCTCTGCGAATAAACTGAGGATACTGCACCATTTTCACTGAAGTGGCCAGAATTTTGAGTGGCCTGATACTTCTGGACCTCATGGCTGATGAAAGAAATCGAAGCGTAGGTTTGACAAATGCAGGGAAGGAGTTGCAGAAGATGCAGTTATTACATGAAATGCAGAGATGGTCTGACAGCGAAAAGGATATCTGGATGCATCGCCTTATGCCGGATATCACTCGGTGGTACAATAGGCAGAAGGAAATGACCCTGTTCTTCTGGCTCACGCAATTTCTAAGTGGTCATGGCGCCTTCGGACAATACCGGCATAGGATAGGGAAGGCTGCAGATCCAAGGTGCCTGGAATGTGGGCTTGCTGACACCGCTGAGCATGCGATTTTCTTTTGCACGAAATGGCTAGAAAATAGGAGAAAAACCCAGAATGAAATTGGGTGCATGCTCACGGTGGAAAATATCATGAACTGTATGCTGACCATGTGGTAGAAATGGGGCAGGGTAAAAAACCTAATCGAAAGCATAATGAAGGATAAAGAAGCGGAGGAACGCCAACGAGAAAGGATGTGAAGGGAAGCTCATAAGGAATGTGGACAAGAAGAAGGAAGTGACGACCAACCACCCCCCTGAAGTAATGCTAAAGTGGTTTCAAGGAGGTAGGAGAACAGCTGGTCGAGGAAGGAGTTTTAGCCGGTAAAAGTCCTGGCACTAACAGGAATGATCGAAGCTAAGTTCCTGGTGCCCATGAGGGTTTCCTCTTTTACAGAAAAAAAAGGTCAAGTCAGGTCAGGTCAGGTTAGGTCAGGTCAGGTCCCCAGGGGAGAAGCCAAACTCCTACTGGGCGCCTCCCCCGGGTGGCGGATAGGGAAAGCCCTCATCGGCTTGCCGGCGGGTTACGATGAAATAATATAGCCGTCGCGGACCAAATAAAGCAGCGAAGGAGACAACCTCCGAAGAAATCAAAAACGCTGATGAAGACCTCTGCTGTGGATTTTGAATGACCTCGATTTCAGCTAGTAAGAATGGGCTGTTCTTGGTAAAAAGCCCCCTCACCACGTCAAGGTGGCATCCTATCGAGGAGGGACTAGCAAAACGGACACGGCATGGTCACGGATAGGACCTAATTTCACGACCCGAAGGCGGGAGGTGGAGCGTAGCCTTCCGACACATACCGTAACCAAGGTCCACAGTCAACAACCGCCGCTAAACGCGGCGGCGGTGCGTCTGTGGGGCCCGTTGGCCGGGGAACTTGCCTTAATCGGCCGGCTCGCGAGGAGACAACCTCTATAAAAGAACGGACAGCGAAGTCGCAAAAACCTACGGTGCACCGGGCGCACCCTGCAGTATTAATGCCTTCTCTTTGGTGTGCGCACACTGCCATAGAGGGACTCTTATTTGGACCCTAGGCGTGGGAACGAAATGGAAAACAAAGACAACCGAGAAGACCAAACACAATCAAAAAATGAATTCGGAATAAGATAGACATGGACAATGATAACGATAAGGGAACCAAAAGTAAGGGTAGTGGAAAGCCACTCAAATTCATGATAGACCCAGAGCGATTCTCCATTTTCTCCAATCTCTCCGATAACGACACCATCGAGAAATGTTTCCATCCCAGACTTTACTTGGGATAAAGATGAAAATAGGTCCATAAAGAGGAAACGGGAAAACACACCTACTCAAAGTTCTAAAGGTGAACCAGACGTGCTGAACCTGAAAATAAAATTTTTCAAAAATCTAAAGGCCATCGAAAAGGATACGAGAACACTAAATCAACTTGTACGCGAAAATACGAACACGAAACGGGAGATCAGGGAAATTGCCATTAAAGTAAGAAGCATAGTTAGTATGATCACGACAGTAGAAATGCTTAATGCAGTGGGGAAACCCATTACCAAACAAGACGTAGCTGATGAAGACACTGGGAAGATAGACAGGAAGGATGGTAGCACCCAAACAGAACCCATAACCATAATGGAAAGTGGAGACACAAATAAAAATGACCAGGACAGAAAGCAACAATTAATAAAAACTGTAATATAGGTGATTGAGGGGGCAGTTGAAGCTGACGAAATTAGAGTTTAATCATATGGAACCTGTTCTTCATCCAGATGACACCATTGCCACTTATTATATCCCACACCATTGTGTACTTAAGCCAGCCAGTTTAAGCACAAAACTGCGCGTTGTGTTCAAGGCGACCGCAAGATCCTCTAATCAAACCTCGTTAAATGAGCATCTTCTTATTGGTCCCAAACTTCAAAGGGAGATTTGCATTATCTTATTGAATTTTCGCCTCCATACGTACGTCTTGACTGCCAACATCAAAATGATGTATCGCCAAATCTTAATCAATCCGGTTCAGTGCAATTTTCAGAGGATTATTTGGCGTTTTACTCCTGAACAACCCATTCAGGATTATCGTTTAAAAACCCTGACGTATGGAACCTCTTCCGCTCCCTATCTGGCCATTCGTACTCTGTTACAATTGAGCGAGCAGGATGGTTCGTCGTTTCCATTAGCCGCTGCCGCCCTCCAGACGGACACGTACATGGACGATATTGTTACTGGTAACAATTCTTATCAACAAACTTTAACGTTGAAAGATGAACTTATTGCCCTCCTTAAGGGTGGAGGATTTGAACTTCGCAAATGGGATACCAATGATTGTTCGCTTGTCTCTGACCTTCCTCCGTCTCATGTTTGCCTTGATTAATATACGAGAGGAAGATCGTAGTGACACTCTTAGAATCTTGGGATTGCAGTGGAATCCCGTATCCGACGCTTTCAAATTTACAGTTCATTCTTCCCGGCAAGTGCACTAAACGCCATCTTTTATCCAGTCTCGCACGCATTTTTGATCCTCTTGGCATATTGACGCCGCTTACTTTTTTCATAAAACATTTAATTCAACGCATCTGGAGTCTCAAGTTAGCTTGGGACGACGCCCCGCCGAATGATATTTTACGCGTTTGGAATATCTTCGCTAGGGATCTTTCCGTTCTAAACGATTTTTCGTTACCGCGCCGCCTCCTTTGCGATAATTTCCTCTCGTGTGAAATTCATGGACTCGCTGACAGCTCCGAGAAGGGCTATGCCGCCGTAGTTTTTTTGGTTTTTAGGTTCGCCACGCTTGAACCACGCACGCAGTTTGTTTGTGCTAAATCCAAAGTAGCACCGCTCAAGAAGATTACGATTCCAAGGCTGGAACTTTCTGCCGCAGTATTGCTAACACGGTTCCTCAATCTGGTTTGCCGAATTAACAAAGACAAAATTCCTTTTAATCGCCTGTGTGCTTGGACAGACTCCCCGATAGTTCTAGCTTGGATCAAATCTTCGCCGCATCGTTGGAAGACATTTGTCTCCAATCGCGTCTCGTTTATTCAAGAGCATCTGCCCTCCTCGTCGTCGTACTATGTTCCTTCCGGTCAGAATCCAGCTGATCTTGGGTCTAGAGGGGCATACCCTCAGGAGTTACTGGTTAGTTCCCTATGGTGGGCGGGACCCCCCTTTTTGAAGTCCGGCACGCCCCTCAATAATACGACGCCTTCTGTCCCTGTCTCCATTCAGGACGAAGAACGCACGCAATCGTGTAATGTGATAGTGACCACCTCTTTATTGGACGACTTAGTCAATACGCACTCATCTCTGCCGAAGATTATTCGCATTCTTTGTTATGTACGCCGATTTATCCGTGGAATGACTAGACCTACTAAAAGCACCCCCCCGTATATCACTTCATCGGAATGGTCCGAAGCCTTGATGACGGTGGTCCGACATATACAAGCTTTCCATTTTTCTAGGGAAATTGACTTCCTTAAGCGTGGAAAACCGCTACCGAAGGGTTTTCAAAATCTCTCCCCCTTCTTAGACGATCAAAAGATTCTTCGAGTCGGCGGTAGATTACGACAGGCTCCATTACCCTAGTCGAAACGCTATCCCGCTTTGTTACCATCTGGGCATCGTTTTACCTCTATGCTCATAGAATACACGCATCGCAAATATCTCCACGCTGGACATCAGACGGTTCATTACCTTCTCGGTAACCAATTTTGGATTATGTCCGCCAAACGCGCGATAAGACGGGTGCTGTCTAAGTGTCTAAGATGTTTCCGTACCCAACCGGTATCCACTCAACCACGCATGGGGGATTTGCCTCCTTCTCGGTTTTCTCAAATTGAACCCTTTCTACGAGTTGGGGTGGACTACGCCGGACCCTTTTCTATTACCATGGCCAAAACGCGCGGTGCTAAAACGCTAAAAGCGTATTTATGTCTATTCATATGTTTTGCGACGAAAGCTCTACATTTGGAGCTCGTCTCAGATTTAACCGCCGACGCCTTCCTAGCGGCGTTACGACGCTTTCTTGCGCGGCGAGGGAGATGCCAGCATATCTATTCCGATTGCGGTACTAATTTTATTAGTGCCCACAGACAATTAGATCAATATATGCGCGAAGCTGTACAGTCGGAACAGATTCATTGGCATTTCAATCCGCCATCAGCTCCACACTTTGGTGGTTTGTGGGAGGCCGGCGTCAAATCGGTAAAGACCCACCTAGTCCGTGTCATAGGCCACCAAATCTTAACCTACGAAGAGCTCTTAACTTTAGTCTCTCAGGTCGAAGCAATGCTGAATTCCCGTCCGGTTCATCCTGTAAGCAGCGACCCAAACGACTTGACCGCACTGACTCCCGGCCATTTTCTTACGTTTGCCCCTTTAATTGCACTCCCAGAACCGAACCTTGCAGACGTGCCGGTGAACCGCTTAACTCGCTGGCAGCTAGTTCAAAGCTTTGTCAAATGTATTTGGTCGCGATGGAGTGCCGAATATCTCCATAATTTGCTTCAGCGGTCGAAATGGTCTGCCGAGAGACCTAATTCTATCGCGGTCGGATCCCTTGTCCTTATTAAAAACGAGTTGATACTCCCTCTGCAGTGGCGTCTAGCCCGAGTCCTACTTCTCCATCCCGGACAAGATGGCATAGTTCGGGTTGTCACCTTAAAAACCGCCGGTGGCGCCCAGTGGCCAAACTTTGTCCACTTCCTGCAACTTTGCAGTACAAAAAACCCTTTTTGTTTTTTTTTGGTGGGCGGAATGTCTCGTCCCCAACTCCATACTTATTTATTGTTTAGCTTAAGTTTATCGTTTGGTTCAGTACTGCGCCCGCAACCCTCGCTACACTGGTGGCCGGTCTATTGCGGTCCTTTTTCTTTTGGTGGCCGCTTGTGTAGCAACCAGTCGAGTGGACTGGACGCGTTTTCGAGTTGTCGCAGTCGTACCGGCGACGACATAACCCGCCATATTATTGTTCCCCCTATCGCTGATCCCGCTATTATTATTCCCGCCATTGTTGAACCCGCTATTGTGGAACCGCTACAACCTGCAAAAGTGCATGATCCCTATTACGCGCACCCCTTCCGAGTGCTTTCTCCAGGAGCACCCCAGCCATCACCTCCAGGCCAAGATCACTCAGGACGCACAGCTCGGTAAGTCCATCTTATCTCTCTCTGGTAAGCTACAGATACATTTTTAATTTTTTAAATTAAAATGTAAAAGTATATGAAAATTAAAATTTCCAAGCAAAATCCACTTAAATATTCATGATTTACTACTGTAACGTTTACAATAATCAGCTTTTGACATAAAATGCTTGCAAATTTTGAAACAGAATTGGAATGTTTCTTGACAATCATGCCTAATACGTTTTTGACTTGTATCTTTTAAAAATAATGATTTCCGAATTTATAGCTATTAACAGTTTACGACTTATTGTTGATTTTTTTTTTTACATCTCTAGCATAAGCTAAGGAAATATTGTAATCAAGTTCATCGGGCGACTGGCTATTTTTATGGCTTCTCAACGTTTCATAACCCCCATAATGCGAAAACATAGGTCTCTCGTTTCCGGTTGATAAAACGCTGACCAACATTTGCAATCATCCTCACTATCATATAACGTCATCTTCAACTTTTACAACAGTAAATGTTATATAAATTTTATAAAATAACATACATTTTTATTTGTTGTTTATTGAGTTTTTACCCTAAGCATCCAGATTGAATTACCATAACCCTAATTTTATGAGATTTTGGAAACAGGATGTACTACTACATAACGAAATTTAACAGAATTTGAAGTAATGTAATGATACTCTTTTTACATCAAATTACACCAATTGGGCATCGTCCACAATACTGTTCATAAATTATAAATGCAGGAAGTTTATACAAAAGCATGCAAATACATTTTTTGCGTATAATATGTATTGCTTTATTATTAATATAATATATTTCAAAGAAAAGTGTCCGAATTACAAAAGTTATACAAGGCACCACTGGTACGCCATATATTTTCTACGTCGTTCCGCTCAGCTGTTTCTCTTCTCTCTGCGCCGGTCCACGCCAGCGGCGCCAGCATCACGGGGGCCGGTCCAGTGGCGGCCACGTGGCGGCAGCGGTAACATTAAATATCTACTCATTTACAAAAGTTATTAAAAACAGTAAAAAAAGTATTCAAGTCTCTGTCCAGTTTAATACCTTACCTTACTAAAATAATAAGTTTAATGAATTATGTAGTTGGCAAACAATGACGTTTAATTTATGCCAGGGTTCACGGCATCTACTTTTCACATTGCATGTTTAATTCGGACTTATAATTTGAGAATATAATTTAGCCGTTTATTTATTTTTGTAGTTTAGTAGTTCTTGGCAATTTCAGAAAACTGTATGTTATTTAAAAATACGTGACAAATCACGAGGCCAGGCAATCTAGAGATCTGACTGCTTCGGTGCTCCATGGTTTGCGCGGGAAATACTGCATACATTTTAGGTAAAAGGAGTCTATGATAAGTTGATAAGCGCACGTAGGAGATGATAGACAGAAAGCTAATACATAGAGCTAATGTACTGGAAAGAAATAGTACAAGTTTACGTGCGCACACCACAGCCTCCCTTTCTCTGAACAGCTTGGGAAAGATTCGTATTACCAGTACTAGCGGTATGTTGCCCAACTAATACATAGCCCAAGGCTGTACCTAGCGTATCTGGTTCTCCCTTCTGACCCTTAACCACCTCTCCACTAAGCAGTTGTGGAGCTGTGCGTCCTGAGTGATCTTGGCCTGGAGGTGATGGCTGGGGTGCTCCTGGAGAAAGCACTCGGAAGAGGTGCGCGTAATAGGGATCATGCACTTTTGCAGGTTGTAGCGGTTCCACAATAGCGGGTTCAACAACAGCGGATTCAACAATGGCGGGAATAATAATAGAGGGATCAGCGATAGCGGGAACAATAATATGGCGGGTTATGTCGTTGCCGGTGCGACTACGACAACTCGAAAACGCATCCAGTCCACTCGACTGGTTGCTACACAAGCGGGCACCAAAAGAAAAAGGGCCGCAATAGACCGGTCACCAGTGTAGTGAGGGTTGCGGGCGCAGTACTGCACCAAACGATAAACTTAAGCTAAACAATAAATAAGTATGGAGTTGGGGACGAGACAGTATCTGTTATCTATGATTATTGATGTAGAAATATCGTTTCTACCAATAAGAATACTACAAAAAATTGTGAACTCTTTTACTGGTATGCAGCATTATAAATCTTGTTCACTAAAATTTTAAAGAAAATAAGTTCATCATTCCCGAGAAAAAATTAAACAAAATTGTTACTGTTTAGTAAAAAATTATATTATTTGTTTATCGAGCAACAAATCTATTTGAAATTTAAAATTGTAAAATTTCAAATCTAATAATTTGAAACTCAATCTTTGTTAAAAAACAAAAATCAAAAGTATTTGTAACATCTATAACAAAAAAAGTTGCACAAATTACAGTTGTTTTTTTTTTTATTTCAGATTCATCAAAATTGTTAAGTCTCTTTTTTATTCATTTCACATTATGAGTCATTCCCATATTACTTGTTCTGCGCGTAAAGCTGATTACGATTTCGTTCCAAACCCCAAACTTAACGCTGAAAAACAAAACAGCAAGCGAGTACCTAAAAACGGATAACGGTACTGTATCGATTTCTGCTTGGACATGAGACAAATCCGCACTCAGTCTAAACTATGTTTCGCTTCGCCCAAGTGCGACATGCACCAAACAGCAGAGGCGAAAATCCCTCGGACGCGGCCTGGTCTATGCGCCAAACCAGTTCTCAGGTGACGAACTTAGACCGACGAAAGTCAAAGACAGGTATACTACGATGGCGATAATGTCTATAGATGATGCCAATATACTCTTAAAGCAGCCTAGAATCAAGATTGGATGGTTTAGACACAGGATACAGGAGCTGATAGTACCAGAACTGTGTCTAAAATGTAAAAAGTATGGTCATAACAAAAGGGAATGCAAAGGAGAGCTTAAAAAACTGGAAAGCTGTCTGAGATGTGGGGATAGGGAACATAAAGCAAAGGGATGTACAAATCAACCCAAATAGTACGTATGTGAGGTTGATGGAGATAGGGCCGACTCTATGCCCTGTGCAAAATATAAAGAGGCGGTAGGGAAAAAAAAAGAGGGAGAGCGGCGTACCTATCAATGGCGTTGAAGCTACTACAAGTGAACCTAAATAGGTCAGGTGTAGCAACGGACTTAATGTGGAAAACAGTAGAGGAAGAAGAGATAGACCTAGTCCTTATACAGGAACCGAATGTAAAACGTAGCTGTGATAAACATTACTATGATATTAGTAAAGAAACTGTGATAATTGTCTGTGATACGCAAAAAATAAAAGTTAGGGAATATGGACCGGGACCAGGTTATGTATGAGTCAGAAATGAAAACCTTATATATGTGTCGTGTTATTTTTCTCCAAACAGAAGTGAACGGGAATTGGAAAAATATCTGGCTAGAACTGGAATGATGATCAGAGAACATCAGCGGCAAAATAGAACTGTGATTGTAGGGGGGGATTTTAATGCCAAAAACGGAAGATGGGGTTCTCCAGAAGATGACAGCAGAGGCGTTAATCACGTTTTGTTCGGTACGAAAGTCATAATCAGGATCGACTAAAATGAATGGATCTTTAAGCTGTGCTATCTCTTTATCAATAAGCCTTTGTAGCACTTTGCATTTTTCTCCGGCATCACGTCTTGTGGTCACACCTCGTATACGTAGTTCGTAATCGAGTTCATCTTGTAACAGGTTTCTTGCCCTAAACGTACTATGCATTCTGGTAGTAATAACCAATGATTTATTACCAAAAATGAATAATGACGCAATAATGTTGCTAATTGGAATTAAATCGTGAACCCAATCTCCAACGAATACGAAGAATGAGTTAAAGTTGTTGCTCGTTAAAAAATAGTACTGCAGTAGGTGGCACAAGTAAATGGTAAGTTCCCAAAATTATTCCACAATACGCTAACCAAACGAAGTTGTATCGAGCCCCACGTTGCCGCGCCATTCTTTTATGTGTATCGTTTGGTATACACAAATAGGGCTCCGGCGGCTACGGGGTCGTGCGGAGAGCCGTTTAAGGGTGGGTTCGTTGTATCGGGGAAACTTACCTCTTGTTTGAGCCCCACCGCGATTTAGAAAAAACTAGTTACTTTGTGGGATCCTACAACTGCGGAGTAAGGTCCCGAATTAACAAAATGGAGTAAAAAAAAAGGTTTATTCAATAATTACTTGTGCCTACCAAATTTAACAATATTATTTTCCCACCTTCCTGCCTGTACTTAGCAACAACGAATCTAATTGATAAATAAAATTAACCGGAAAAATTGAAAAATAACTTAAAACAATTACAATTCTAATCTAATGCAGCGTAAAAAGAGAATTAAAAAAAAAAACTTATCTGCACGATAAGGCGGCCACCGAGACTTCTCTCTTCTAACCCCAGAAAGTGGAACCACGAATGAGGTGAACAGCAGGAACACTAGGACCTGGATCTCACAAACCTAGAGTGAGTGTCCTTAGCGGATTGAGCGGCCTTAACAAGGAAAACTCGTCGTCGGTTTCCCGGGGGCAACTCTACGGCCTGTCTAAGGTGTCTTCATCCACTCCAAGGACCACGTACCCGTCGTCGACGGCAGGATACCACCCGATTCACCACCTTTTTGCCTTTTCTCCTCGTACCGTCCCCGCTACTCCTCCACGCAACTCTCCGCTCACCGGGGCAATTTTGAAATAATAAATTAACTGTAACGTTTTATCGTTAGTGTTCAACCATCAAGGCAAAAATCCAGTCACCAAAATATAAGTTAGTATGGGGTAGACACCTTGAGATGGGAATCTCTATGGCCAGTGTTAAAAAAAAGGCACTGCACAATTTATGCAAAAATAAAAGTTAATTACCTGAAAAGTTTTCGATATTCCCGCTCCTAATGTGTTTTTCAAACTGAATGCATTTTTTGACGACGTTCCACGTTCATGAAAGTCGCCATGTTTAATTAAAATTTACTCTTCCAACCATCCTACTCGTTTTCTAAGCTGCTTTACAGACAGCTCAGTTATTTGCCACGCCGATGCTCATTTTTAGATTAAATGCT